GCGACCGTTCTCACGTGTGCCATTACATAGGTTAGTGTTATGGGGCTAAATAAACCGATTGGCTGGAGTCCACTTGACCCGTGAACTTCTTCCTAACTCCCTTTACACAAATTGATTTTAAATGGCGATTTATTTCCGCCTCATATCGGCGATCCGATCTTTCTAGAATTTTATGGGCGGCTTTATATGGGGTTAAGGGAATATAAAACAGTTTATTTCATTCATGCCAAAGTTTATTTCTGATTAAATAGCTTGAACCGCATGAAGGCGATTAGGCACTATAGCTATTTTATTCATAATCCTATTTAATTATACAAATATATTGTGAAGGAAGTTTTTAGGAGATGCTGGTTTGACGATAAAGAATATAACAAATCTAATGGACACTCTCAGGACAACATTTAGAAAATTTAATATGAATTATTTATTCCCTATACGAGCTATCGCCAGCCAGTGCCCATAAAAACACAAAGTTTGTCTTAAAGTAAGTATTGAAGTAAAAAACCAAAACAGTTATAAATTACGTAGTTAACAGTAAATATAAAATTTAACTTGATTCAATAGGTAACGGTTTAAATAAAAATTGTATTCAAACAGTATATTTACCCTTTTGCGAATTTGTGCAAATTACTTTATGAGTGAGCTTTCATTTTGGAGTTGGCAGTTTTTTATGTCATTTACAACTGTATAGTGATGGACCGGCTGTTAAAGTTGGCATTAACCGACCAAGTTAGGAGGGACCCTGGTTGTATGGTAGTGACAGTTAAAGGTGTCGAACCCTAAATTGCAGGCTAATAGAAATAAATAGTAACCCTTCGGTGGCGGCGCGTTTGCCGCTGAAAGGTTTACTTTTATTGCCGACTTTCTACCAACTACCCTTTCATAATCGCAAAGGTTGTGCAAAAACTATTTATTTATTTTGCACAAGGTTTCATTGTTAGCTTGTTAGAAAATAGCTGTGTTTCTGCAAATAAATAAAAAAGCAATTAAGTCTTTGAAATAGGAGGGTCTTAGTGATGTTTGTTTTTGTAGCAATTACGAAATATTGTTTTAAGATACTTTAGTAGAGAATATTAGTGATTTCTCAATTAGGTTGCAATGTGAGGTTTAAATTATTTTATCTGCGCAGCGGGTTCCGTACCTGCTCGGCGTGCCAAAGAAAACTATTAAGTAATTTTTTTATATATCCGAAATTGATACATTTCTGACCGCAAAGGTTTTTCAGCGGGGGGTGCAACCGACTGACATTTTTTTCCTACTTTCCAAGTAAACCTGTCGATTGAATTGTCAGGATAAGTGTAAGTGGAGGTGATAAAAATAATGTTGGTATTGATGTGTTCAAATTTTTTTGCAGTCGTTTGCTCTTGCGATATTTAACAATGGATCGACGAATGAGTTATGGATGTCGCAATTATCTTAGATGTATTTTATTTCACGAGGTCCTAAAATAAATTTCAAGTATTACATTAGATATTAACTACAATAGATGTACGAAGATTATTCCCAAAGAGGGTTGATGTCAGGCAGGCCGGTCGTAAAAACAATTAGCCAAAACTATTCATAACATGTAAGGCAGACCTTGGCTAAAGCTGGGAAATTGCCAGGAAGAAGAGATGAAAATACGAAAACACAAAAATCAGGATATAATTTGATACAATAAATATAAACCCACATTACAGACGTTATAAATTTTTATTGCTTATTTAATAATCTCTTTTATAAACGCCGTATGGTTGATCGCTATATTTTATGATCTACGGAAGACATACATCTAGCTCCTCCCTAGACCACCTTAGATGTTATTTTTATACAAAACTGCATTTAAATGGATTCGGATGGTTTATTTGGCTGGATGAAGTTAAACATGGGTAATTAAGTGCAACAATTTTCACTGTAATGGTCTACTAATGCAGTCTAAAATTAGTGTGACGAAATAATAGTCACTATGCTCGGCTTACATGGAGCTAAAAAATATTTTATCCAAAAATTTATTTAATTATTTTCTTAAAATATTTATTTAAAAAACATTATTTATTTATTATAAATCGCGTTTTAAGTTTCATTTGTAAAGAATACCAATGATTTTATGCTAAATAATAATTATTTTTTATTGATCTTAATAAACATATATAAAAATATTCTGTTAATGATATCTATGATATACATATCATAATTATTACATTGTTTCGTTCTTCAATATAATATTTTAGAATATGTTGATTTACTTATATATTAAGTTATAATACAATATATCCATGTGAGCTGGTTATGTGGACAAGTCAGAGAGCAGCAGGCGGTTCATCCATAAACTTTTATCACCTGTAATGAGCGCTCGCACTGATTTGTGTGACATCACATTCGGCGCTTCAACATAATTAATACATCGGTGATCGGTCCCTACAAATATTTAATGAAATACATTCTATTAATTTAGTAAAATATTTTTTTTACGTAATTATTAACCTTCAATATGAAAAAGAAATATTATATCGTTATAAAACTAAGCTCATTATCTACCGTATTTATTTATTTTATTTTTCAGAAAGTATAGTTGAAGTACACTTATAGGTTGTTTTCTATTTTTATTTCGTTGATTTTTAAGAAAAAATCTTTCTGTGTGACAAATAATACATATAATTGTATTTTTATATAAGAATAATAATTAACAGGATCTCATTCTCTGTCAACGCTCTAAAATCCCACGAGCCAGTAATGTGACGTCGTATTTCGTGTGTTTTTTTTTTGCTGCGGACACATTACAAGTAATATTTATAGTGAAAATATCATTTGTTGAATTTGAGCCAAATTTCCGGGGCTTGTTTCCAACGGAATTTTACAAAAAGTGCCATAAATTGGCAAATAATCCCCCGCATAACGCAACCTTTGTTTGGCCACACGTGCTTTTAATATCTGGCATCGAGATAGCTACAAAAGCCGGATTTAGTCTTTGTGCGAGCCACCTAAAGTAAACACTCGTAAAAACATCTCACTGACGCGTTCGCGAATATTATAGTTATATGTGTTAATAAATTTTATTAAACACACGCACACACACAAAGGAGTTGTATTCAGTTGTCATCGTTACGATTGTGAGATACGAATTTGTCATGGAAGTGTGCTTTTGTCTGAATATAATGGCATGTGAGAAGGAAGAGCTTCCGGCCGGTACCGGGATCGATGCCCGGGGCGATACCTTGCTATCGATATTCGATACTTTTTTTTTTATAAACTTTAGATATTTATACGCCATTCATACACCTACGCGGTTCTCATCGGCCGTAGTGTATTGTGATTCCATTGAAAAAAAAATATATAGAGTTCGTTTGAAAAAAGTATATTTTATTTTTATTCCATATTTTTTAAATAAAACTACTTGGATTTTTTATCATAAAATTTTTCTTTATTTTGCATTTCTATTTTCGATTTTTTTGTGAGCATTACCATTATTTTTATTCCTTTGTCATGAGTGTTTAGTAAAACATAATATTCTACTAATATTACTAATATACCTAATTCATAAATAAAGTTTGAAAAACCTAATCTTATATAGAAATATTCTGTCCTAGTCTCTTCCTTATTTGATTTCATTAAACACGTCTACTGCTCTTTAAATTTTCATAGTGTAGTGAGTAGGTTTTATAGCATATTCGTGATTGGCTACTAGACATTTTCATTCTATATGACAGCACTACCAACCTAGTTCAAACAGCTTCCCAAAAACTTCATACTAAAAGGTTCTACTGGATCCTAATGGTTTAATCGTTGACATCTATAAGCCAATCGGAGTGCGTCCATCACTTAACAAGCACTTGCAAACAAACAATCCGCTAGTATTTTAAAAACAAGAAAAAATTCCACGAGTGTCGACGTGGACGCGGACTGATAAAAAAAAAAAAAAACAAAAAAAAAAAAAACTAAAACCGAACCGGAACAATCGAAGCTAACTTATAAAATATGTATTGCTGCTGGCTTTTGAAACTTGCACTCGTGTCTATTTTCACCGCGATCGGGATTTATCATGGCGAAGGACAAAAAATATAATTTTTTATACGTTCATTGTTGTCCATATATCGGGTGGCCGTTGTTAGAGAGCTTTCTATCATATCATTGTATGGCAGTTTTTTTCGATTTTATTTTCAATTCATTTCTAATATATACAAAACAAGATATAGGTATGTACGAATACAAAATGAGATTAATACTGATGAACAAACTTCATATATTAACAAAGTGGTTTCATTTAAACATCTGTGTTGGGTAGTGTCGGTGATAGTATATCTAAATATATTTTTTTTACACGGGAGTTGACAACAGAGATTCATATGGCGCACGATCTTGATGTCTGCATTTTCTAATCTCTATGCGAAACACAAAACACCATTAAGTCATGGTCATTAATTTAACAGACATCTGACGTTACGGTATGTCAATATTATCACCGATTTCAGGTAGTTGCAATTGTTTATCTACAAAAAAATGTATAGGTATGATTTATGGCCATTCAATACCACATAAAACATATATATGCTGAACTTTGGTTTAATAAATTTGTCTCCTTAAGATAGGTTGATATGTTTTAATATATTAAATGTATTTATAGTCAAAGGATTCCTTTAAAATTAAAGGATTTGAGTAAAAAGACTTATTAATAAATACAAATCCATGTGTATATATTCTAATTTCGGTGTTTGAGTATTTATTTTAAAGTGCTAATAAAATTCATCCAAGTGTCAATGCATATTTCAAAGGTTGTATTAATATCGGGAGCCGCCAGCGCGTCGCCGGGTTCTGAATCCTGCATTTATTACTCTGCCCAATTCGAACGTCATTTTTAACCGTCATAGCTAATTTGCTATTGTTTTGCCCGCTGACGCCAACAATTTTTTTGTTGTTAACCATAAAATAGATAAGAGCACCCTTAATTGATTATAAAGTTTGCGACGTATCCAAGAACTCGGTCGGTAACGGCTCAATTAATCATTCGGTAAGATACAATACGGTCAGTTTGACTCGTGAGTTAGTCGGGAGGTTGGAGCAAGCGGCGTTCTCCTCAGGGAGGTCGTATCACATAACGCAGCCAATATGTTAGTCGGTACGGCGTCGTAGGCATCAAGGCAAGTCTGGGCTGCTATAAAGCACGGTGCAATAAAGAGAATGAATGCCGCCCATCGGCAGGCACCGGCCGCTCCAGGATTACCCGAATCGCCACTATTTATCGCTCCAGCCTTGCGCCCAGGTGCCATCAATCTATTTAATGATCGGGTCAGCACATACTCTATGTCTTTTTGCCACTATCGCCGGACGGTGAACAAAACGAAGAAGCAAAGGCGCAGCCTGGGAGATGGACGTTTGATGAGGCGCTTTGTGTCGATCGTTCCCGTTAAAAGGATTTTCGGACGCACTATCACTAGTTATGTATAAACCGCCGCCCCCCCTCCTCGGTTTTTGCATATTTTTTAACGTGCAGCTCTTTAATATTGGAGCACGATGAAATATTTAAATTCTATAACGTTGAGTTGCTTGTGTGTTTGTAACAGTGAATAGAATTATACATTTTATTTCTATAATAATCGAAAGTTAGTATCGAATACAAAGAAAGAGAAGTAAAGGTAGAAAAATGAATCTTTTACTCTCAATTATGTTTTTTATCATTAAAGCAATGTTAAGCATATACTAACATTGAAATTTAATTTTGAACACATACCTAATAAAAAATTATACAAATAGGTATAGGGTTCAAGTTGACCAATTAAGTCAAGACACGATAGCCGTAAAATTTTTGCTGATATTTTCACCTCAGGAAAGTGCAATTATGAATATTGTGGGTTAGTTTTAAAAAATATATGTATTTCACAAAATAAAACAAAACACAAATACGATACATAAGTTAAGAACAAAAAAAGATGCCCATAATTCTATTCAAAATTTCCATTTTTGTATAAACAACAATTACAAGTTTTAAATCTGATTGAATTAATATAAAGCCTTAAAAAAACAATGACAAAGAACATAACTAATCAATTAAATAAAACACATAAGATTCAAAGTTGAATCCAAATTATTTGATAGTCCAAGCATCACAGTTAACCAAAGATAAAGGATATTTAAACCAACGGTCAATATATAGATCTGGTCAAGTCACAATGGCCATACATCTGCCGGGTTCGTGCGAATGCAATAGTCGGAGGGATTTGACTCTTAACTCAATGTATAGCACCTCGGCTTTGTCTAAACGATCTTTGTGCTCTCGTTTCTGTGCGACACTTATTGCTGTAAGTGATCCGTTATGGTCGCTGTTGTGACATTGATAGCTTTATTGATGTTGAATATTCTCAGCTTTATTTTGATTTTGATAGCTGTGTCGAGTCGAGTGTTTGAGTATCAGGAAAGGATCGAATTGACTTAAGGGTTAAACTCATATATGAAATACATATTATATTTCAAGTTTAAGATGTTTTTTTTGGTATAATTCGAATTATTTAAGCTTCCCTAGAGGCATTTGTTTTCTGTTGGCTTTATATAAATTAGAATATGAAGACGTTTTTGTATTTGTTTCTTTTTAATTAAGAGTACCCTACAGTTTAAACTCTTTATTAATCTTTAAAATAAAAATAAAAATGTTTAAAGAAATTATAAGTTTTAAATATAAAAAAATGCAAGGAAATAATTTTTATGATATTCCAATAACTTTATATTTCTTAAGCAATTTATCGATATAAACTCTCCATTGTTCGTCCTATAATTCCTATGGGTAGTTGAGACTATAAAAAATTATCAATTTGTACAAATGAATTGAATAGTAATATTGAATATTTCAATATTTGCATTATGACCTTAAATGTCCCTAAGTCAGGCCAGAAATGTAATGGCCTACCTCAATGAATATGAATTTAGGCAAATGTAAACTTGAACAGAACCCGGTAACTTGGTAGGGGAATCGTTTCCATTGATATACGAGACGAGATTTAATCTTTAATATTTATAGTACCCATTACATAATTTATATTAGGTAGTAACCAACGTACATAGACCTCCTTAACACAGAAAAATTTTGACGAAATGGTTTATTAAAGTTGGTCTAATTTGAAAAAATGATTTATATACGGTCATTAAATTTAAAAAAAGGAATCAATCATATTAAAGAGGTAGGATTTAGGACGCCGTGAGCGAATTCTGTCAGCATTCAGAGATAGGTTTTATCATATCTATATGAAATATTCTTATTGAAATATGTAAAATAAAGCCGTTGTGTGTGTATGGAGTCAGTTTCCAAGGAGGGTGGACTGGTTCCGGTCAAGTCGCGGACGTAACTTCCGGATTTGCAATTTGGTCACATTCACCTCGCAAGACGTCACCCCAGGTTGTCTACATGGGGTGTTTTCATATTTGTATAAATTAGCAATAAGGCTACGTTGATGTCATCCATATAATAAAGTACAAAAAGCCAATGAAACTAAATAGGTATTAACGTGTATATTTTTAACAAGGAGTAGGTGTTATGGGAAATAATAATAATATAGATTAATTTTATAGCAATAGTCCAAAGTATTTATTCATAAATCCGGGGTAGAAGGGACGAAGGAAAATAAAATTGTTACAAAATATTAAACATAATCAAAAATCGATAGCGGTCCAAAATTTTTAAATCTGTTACGAAAAGTTTTTGTTATCTCTCCCTTTGAAATCAAAATTATATCGTAAATGTATTCTTATTTAATATTTTCACGATTTTAATTGGCCATTTTAAAGCTTTGGGATTGTTAGAATTTTAATACGGTAAAAAAAAATTAGGGAGATTATCCTTGTTACTTTAGAAAGGCTGAAATGTTACCGGGATAACAAAAATGAACCGATTTAACCGACTTTAATGACATGCGACTAATTATATCTAAGGTTTTGAATTAATCCTTTTGCCGCGAAAGTTTACTTGAGTATCCTACTATACTCCGTTTTTAGAATTGAATAACCTTGTAAGTATTTATAAAACAACATACATTGCGCGCTTTGTTTGACTTTTTTCTTGCAGCTCCTATAATATTCTTCAGTGTATATAATTAAAATTTATACCCCTGTGTTTGAAGTTCACTTGCTTGTGTTATAGTAAGTAAGTCCATTTACAGGGTCCAATGAGGAATTAGGGATCTTAAGCCATTTGGCGTGGGTCAACCTTATTGAAGTCCAAAATGGTTAAAGCAAATCGGTCTCAACATTAGTCCTAAATTAAATAAGTTAAAGGAAAGGGGATATTTATTATAATTTTAATAAAAACGCTTAAATAGCAGAATCAATGCTATGTATGTTAATAACGAAGGTAAGTGTGATAAAACGATTACTTTCAACAAATTTACTTGACTTTTAAACCAATTAGAGTATTAGTTATCACACAAAAAAAAATACAAATTAATGTCAAAATTAAATCCAAAGAGGATTATTATTACGACGTTTGCAGTCCTATAATTACAAATATATTTTTCATTATTTTCTTCGAATTCATTGATTTGTGATTCGATTTTCCTCAAAATCTTCCTTATGTACTTATTGATTTAATTTTTTGGTGCTAACGAAGAAATCAGTATCTCATTTACTATTAACATCAAAATTATATAAAAAAATCGACTTGTTACGAGAGTAGAATTAATAAATTTTACTTTTATAATATGTGAAAATCTTTTGATACATCGATTGATGTGACCCAAAAGTAAAATGTTCAGTGTTTGATGTTTGTCATGTCTGCGTGTACATACAACGCTATGTTTACTAGTGTCACCTAACAAACTAATAAAGTTAACCTAACTGGCATATAAACATAGTTTAAAATAATGTATGTATGATAACAGACATTATTTGTTGACGTAAGTGAGGTGCCTTGCTCAATATACTCAAACACAGACCTTTGCAATGAACGTGTTAATTTCCTTGGCTGGCAAACTCCTTGTCAAAATAAAAATAAAGATGGCTTGTAATCCACACTATAGGTGGGTAACAACAGCTCATTAAGGAGTCTGAAGGGTAAACTCCCTCGCTTCGGCCTTTTTGTAAAAAAGGCTTAATTAGGGCTCATGCGGCTTCCCTACAACCCCTGTAACTTTTAATAAATGTTCGAAGAGCGCCGCTTCATCATCATACATTATATAGACTTATGTATATTCAAGAATGTTAACCCTATATTACTTGTTGCATCATCACTACTAGTGTTCAGGACACAGACTATTTATTGGTGATAGAATTATATAGTTGGTAGTTAAACAATTACCTTTTTTGTATAAAACTTTTGCTACATTTTAGAAACTTATAAGATGTATATTAAGAATGGAGTATATAGAATTTTTGACGAAAATCCTTTCTTAGAGAAGTCATAAAATTGTTATATATTTATAAGCTCTATGTCAATATAATCATAATGTCAATTTATATAACAATAAACATACACCTGAATGGTCAACGTGATTATAAGAGGACGAGTGTTTCCCACGTACGGCGTGTGCTCCCACTCCCCCGTGGGAAGGGATTAGGTATCTCATATGAGTGCACACGACTGTATTACTGAATGAAACTCTTAGATTCGCTAGTCTGATAGTATTACATCTGATAAAGCCATTAAAACTTGAACTCACCTGCCCTTTTCGGTTCTCCATAACAGCGTTTCGACCCAAACGCATATATTAGCTCAGGGAGCTCAAAGTACTCTGGTCGTATTATTTTAATAAAGCGATGAGCGTTATCAGCGCCATCTGTGTGCCAGAGGCACAATGACGGATCATCCCATAATGCGGAGGGAAAAAACACAGAGCATTGTATATTTTTTCAACGTACAATTCCGGGTTATTGTAGTTTGTAATTCATGGGGCTTTTTAAGCTAATGATACGGTTTTATCTTCTACCATCTCTTATTTATCAAACCGGTACATGATAAGCATCGTTATGAGAGCTGTATGAGTTTGTTTGGGGATTTTATATACATATTGAGTAATGTAGACTTATGTAATTGACATTGTTTATGTTTGTGTAGAGGACAATAATAAGAGGCTCATAAAGGCTCTGCCGCGGCGGGTATCGGGCAATCAGAGCTCAATGGAGGTTATTTACATAGCAATAAGCCGGAGATGGCTTCAGCTCCGATACCTTATCTCTGTTATTGCCTGTGTGCACGCGGCTTATGGTCGGAGAGAAAATGAACTCGGGGTGTCACGGAAATAAAGACGTTTTAAACAACCTTGGCTGATTTATCCGGAATAGCAGAGCG